ATATATATATATATATATATATATATATATATATATATATATATATTCTATATTATAAAATCTAAATATTTAATATTTTTCGTATTTAAAGACCAATGCATTAATATTTTTGACCTATTTTATATTCTTGCTGTTTTAGTTTTCATAATATTTAAACTTTTAACGTAGAATATGTATATACGTATTATATATATATATATATATATATATATATATATATATATTCTATATTATAAAATCTAAATATTTAATATTTTTCGTATCTAAAGACCAATGCATTAATATTTTTGACCTATTTTATATTCTTTATTTGCTGTCACACGCGAGAAATTGTTTCCAAAAGAACTTGTACCGCGATTGGTTGGACACTCTTTACACGAAACGATCACATCGTCTTACTCCATTCATGATCGTGTGCCCAGGAATGATCCTCGTTTCGTTCTTCCATACAATATTCTGCATCAGTTTCCCCCAATCGACGTCATTTATTTCAGAAAAGTTTAGGTATCCGTTAATCTCTAATCGTTTTGATCTGGAAAAGTCCATGTCGTCGTAACTTTTGATCGAAGTGTCGAAAATGTATTCTTCCAACGGGACGCCATTCAACGTGATGACTGTCAAGTTGTCGGTGTCGATGGTAGGAAAAGACTTTCGGCCGTTGATGAAATCAGCAATGCCACTTGCATTGTTGTATGCCGCGCTCGAGGTGGGCGCTTTATTCACAAAAGAAGTGTTTTTCGCACGCAAGGTACCGTTCACCAAAAAATTCCCGTTCAGTTCAGCATCTGGCGGTAAGACAATCTTCATCGTGTAGACGTTATCCACTTGTTCCAAAATCGATAAGACTTGATCGAGCATCACTTCGAGTTTCTCGAGTTTCTTCAAGCTTGACGTCACGTTTGTCAGTACATCCTGCAGTTGTAAATCCATCGTGCCGACTTTGATCGCGCTGTATTTCACGTCTTCCCCGATTGTAACGTTCGAGACATCCATTCTTGTAAAGCTCCAAAATCCTGTCACGGGATTCTTGAGATAACTTTGATTCATCTTCTCCTCGGTCTTATCGAAAATATCTTCCTGCACGCGAAACACATCCTGGAAACATCCCACGTATCTTAAAATACACACTGAGAAGGAAAAGGTTGACTTTTTTAAAATTATAATTATTTTTTATGGTAAAATGGCAGTAGTAGCATACGCATATAAGATTATTATCACTAACACCATAGTAAAATTTAATTAAAAAATTATGTTCTTTATCATAATTTATAGTAATTATTTCTTTATGTGTTTATAGTTACAACTATTGAATATTTCTTTTCAGCGCGTATTACGAAATTTTTCGATGAAAGTCACTACAAATAAATTCATTCTGCTATTTAGATGCTCATATATATTATGTAAATTATTAAAAAGAAACTATAAAATTGGTTAAAAAGAATCGCCTGTATACGCAATATCGACTTATATAAATTTTAGGTGATCTTGCAAATTGTCGCGTTTAAAGAAATTACGCGGGACAGAAATACAACGAATAATATGAACGTATACCTCCAACAGGACTCGCGTCTTCAGTATGCTATCCGTCTCCCTGTGAATAGGATGCGCTACTTCCCTCAGGATCACGTCCACACGTACGAGCGTGTTTCCATGCATGAATCCGACTTTCGGGACGACGACGACTCTCGACAGATTGAAGTCGTTCATGATTTGGTTCGGCAATGGCACTTGCTTGAAATTTGACCCTTGCCAAGCCAGCGCGATCACCGTCGAATTTTCAAGTTGTGCCAGCAACAGCGACTCGTCGCGATACGTGTTCAGCGGCACTGCCGTGATCCACGAGATGCCCGTGATTCCTGCGAAATGAACAACGAAACGTTCTCGAGAGCTCTTTTCACTACGCGATTCTCGTCGTTCCTTACCGCTGAAGGCCAGATCCGCCTCGCCATTATCGTGAAACTCGTTCTCGAGGAAGTGAAAAAGATGCGCTTCTTTCCCGGCGATAACCAGATATTCGATGTGGCCACTCTCGAAGCAGACGAAATTCGCGAGTTCGTTCGTCTCGATTACTTCGAACTCCTCGTACTTGCAAAGCGCATCTTCGTTTTGCGATGCGTATAGAACCACGCTATCGTTCGTTCGAAATGCCAACACGGTGCCGCCGTAAATCGGGCAGACCTGGACGTCGAACGTTTTGGGAACGTACAATCGCCGGCAAAACCTGCGCGACACAATTTGCTTGTACCGGGAACGAATGTGTTCGCGTGAAATGTGTTATTTCGTGAGCTGTGTAATCTCACGCCGAAACACATGAAGTGTCCGTACAGTGAAATCGCGACTGTAGGAATGAGTTTTCTTTGAATTTTGCTCACCAACGTCTGACGTGTCATATAAGGTATTTTGTGCCCTGTACTTAATTATCGTTCAATTTTTCAAAGATCGTTTCTCGCGGATTATACACACATACACACATACACACATGATACGTCGTTGCGGCAACGAGGAAAATCAGGCGGTGCGCACGCGAACGTAATTACCATATATCGATGCTATGATTGCTGTGATCGTAGTTGAAGCCATAGACGAGGATCAACGACTGTTCGAGGTACGTGTTATCGTCGAGTAAGAGCAATTCGTTTTGACTCCCTTCTCGCACGACCTCCATGTCCTGGAATTCATGCTGCATGGACAGTTTCGAGCATAACTGAATCGTACCCTCAGAGATTCGATACCAGAACAGAAAGTAGCCGTGTGTCGACTCGACGAATAGAATCGCGATCGAATAGCCCGCGCGATCTTCACGTTCCGTCTCGTCGACATTGTAGTCGAAAACTCGGAACAGTAATATGCGTCCCTCGGTCGTCACGTTTATGCTAGGCTCGACGGACAATTCGTCCAAGTTGATCTCGTAGAAAAGCAACGCCGAGTCCTCGGCGCGGATAAAATAATCATTTCCCGCTCGTAAGAATTGCCAGTCGCTCTTCTCGGGAATATCGGTGTTTGTGTGCAATGAAATGTTCGTCACCACCACCTCTGCAAAAACGGAAGCGCTCAAGTCGGATCGATTATAGATTTATTTGCACGATAGAACGGTAAACACGGTGAACACGCCATTCTCTGTACAAAAGTGATACGCTTACGTTACGATTGGATGTACGTATATACAAAACATGAAGTCGGTTATCGGTTTTATTACTTGTCCATTGCAGACAAAATCGCATGAATAAGGTCGGGAACACGCGAGAAAAACGGGAGCAGTAAGACGAGCAAACTGACTAATCACAGTCGATGATTCTTCTTATAAAAATAATGAATTGGCCAATTTTTTTACTGCTTTGTCTTGCCACTTACGTTCTTCTGTGCGCCACGGCTCTAAAATGATATTTTTCACGCACCAAACCGCCGCTGTTCTTTTCAGTATCGTGAACATTTGATTGGATTCGAAATCGAAATTGCGTTTAATAAAGATTGAAAGTGCAACGCTTTTCGCACTTTGAGATAATAGTGGGCTTTAATTTAAATTTTAGTATCACGAAAATATACGTTAATTAAAGAAAATGAGATAAACTGAGAAGAAATCGTCTCACTAAATTTGCAATTGAAGGAACACGTGTCGGTCCTGTAACCTCCTGAAACCTCGTCGCCTAATTGCACTCAAACGCGCTTCTCCGTTCGAGAGAATCGTAAACTTTGCAAAACCGATTTCGTTTATGATTACTAATGTCGGGGCGTTAATGAAATGCTTGGCGCGCTCTATCACCTTCTCGATTTCCGGCTCCACTGCCGAATTCGTACTTGTGCCAAATTAACGACTTGTCCTCGCGGTCTCGCGGCCGTCGAAACGATCGCGCATCGACGAGCAATTCGTCCAATGTCTCAGATATGTCCTCGATATCCTGATGCTGCGCGTCACTCGCGAGGATCAGCGAAAGAAGACACACGACGAGACTCTTCTTCAGTGACATCGTGGTCGTCGACTGAAATCCGAGCCGTGAGATTCCCGCGATGTCTTGTACTTTACGTCGCGACTCACAATATTATGATTTTCATTGAGCCAATTTCGATTCGTGTTTATCCGACGATATTCTCCGGTTCGGGATTAAACTAGGCGTCGATAACGTTCGCTGAGTCACTCCGATTCATCGTTAATCTGCTACTTTGACTCATCACACTCCGACACCTCGTATATTCAAGTGGAAGAATTGGTTCCTACATAGAGATATCTATTGAGAGGGATATTATAATTAGTTACTCCTCGCGCGCGCAATTATAATACTTTCCTTTACGAAATTTCCTTTATTCGCCTTTATTCGCACGTTACTTATCGCTGTATATTTCTTCTCATTCATATCGTATCTTTGTCAAGGAGCTACCAACGTGTGTGTAACGTTGATACAATTTATATTTAAGTTATGGCTTATTATTTTCTCTGCAGGAGAGTTCCCTCGTGCGTATCATGCGTATAAAGATTTCAAACGGCACGCACAAGCTCCTGCGTGTATCGCGAGTGATACCATACTTTCTAATAATTGCGGCATAACGTGTATTCTCCCTACAATGTTTCAGCCAATTCGTTTGCGAGAACAAGTCCAACGTTAGAACCGGGAAATCGAATTATCAGCGGAACATAGTCGCATCTTTAAACTAGAATAATTTAAATAAAAGTGAAAATTCGCGCTCGCATACTAACGGGACACGAGAACAGATTTGATTTCGTCCTTCACTCTTTCCCTCTCTCTTTCAGCGACTCGAAATGTAGAACATCGAAAACTATCGAGTTATGTCGAACAACTATATAAAGAGAAAGTAAATAAACACGTGTTAAGTATCCTGTCGGGCGTCCTTAGGTCCCGTCTGGAAATAATGCCCGCGTATCAAATCAACATTCAGTCGCGAGAAACAACGTGGGAGAGAGAGAGAGAGAGAGAGAGAGGCAGAAAGACGTTAGGAGCGATAGAGTCCCGTAAAATTACGGTACGGTGACCGGCAAGAACCTCGACCTGTCGCCAGCTTTCGGCTGGAACTTCAGGTCCACCTTCTCGCTGTTGTCCTCGCCGACTTCGAGAAAGCTGTTCCAGTCCACCAGAAAGTACAGACCGCTTCTTGGCTTGGTCGGTAAAACGGGATCGGGTGCGCGTGTGGTACCGCCGAAGGATTCCTCCAGCGCCGCGAGATTCACACTCGCCGACGTCGATTCCGGGGACGGCGTGAACGTCTCCAAGTCCGAAGCGTCCTTCGCGGAATCGGGGGTTACCGTCGTGGACGTCGTCGTCGTCGGGGTAGTTGTCGTGGTCGTCGGGGTCGTTGTCGAGGGAACATCTATAGATTCTGCACCGAACAAGATGCACCGTGAGTTCCCCTGCGGTTTTGTTTCGTTTCTATACCGCGAACGAACAAGCGAATTCATCGCTCTTCGCAGTAACGAAGTTAAATCGTCTTTTGCGATTCGCACCAGCGCGATACAATCCGGGGCTGCGAGAATCGGGGAGAACAGCAGATCGCGGAAATCGAAATCTGCTAATCAGCGAAAGGCTCGTGGACTACGTCGGAGTGGTGGTTGTTTTCAAGGAGAAAATATCGATGGCGAATGTCGCGAATTTTACCAGATAACGGAGGAGTCGAAAACGGGACGTTCGATCGTTGTTGCAACCGGCAGAAGTCGAGAGTTATCGCGGTTTCTCTCTCGGTTTTACGTGCGGCGATTCGTCGCGGACGTAGAAACTGTCTCCGCACGGTGAAGTGAAGCAGATATCGTAAATATTGTCTACTTATCTCTTTCTCTCTCGCTTTGATTGGTATGCACGGCAATGAGATCGTCTGAGCGATCGGTGTAGTACGAACCGGTTTGCGTGTAACCACATGCTCGGTATTCACATGCAACATTTATGACGCGCACCGCCGCTTCGGGGGCAAGGAACGCGGGATGAAAGTTGTACCATACCTAGCCGACGTTAATGTATGCAGCTGGGAGAAAAAAGGCTGCGTGCAAAAAATGCCTGGAGGATCGTCGCCTAGATAAATCGCGTGGCAAAGCGTAACGTGCGGATTCGTCGCGCTGTATCCCCGATTCTGTTTACCTGACGCACTTTTCCTATGTCGTAATGTGATTTCGATTAGTTGCGCAATGTAATCTTTTCAAAAGAAAGTCGAGACACTACGGGAAGCTGGCTTATAAAGCTTTACATAATGTCATGGTTAAGTTTCCTCCTGAAACTGTGCGATCAGATGTGAGCATTGCGTCATCAGTGTTACGAGACGTTTCAAGTTTCGTCTTTGAGATGTTTTTGAGGGGGCCTTTGATCAATTGTGACTCGATTGACTGAGCTACTACTACTCGACCCGCTAGAGAGCATCTTTACCGACTGTTCAGTAGCGATAAGTTAAATAGTCGATCAATTCATCTATATTTACGTTACTTCGGTATTTGCAGATTTCTCTCATTTATCGGTCATCCGGCCCTTCTATCTTAAGTCTAAGTATTTGTACACGCGTTTTGTCCACAAGTCACGCTCGAAAGTAAGACATACCAAGCGCATATCGAAGTAAAAGCGAAGAGGGACGCAGCCAGAGATCATGCCAAAAGGAGAAGAGAAACAAATAGACAGAGAAATAGAGAAAAAGATAGAAAGAAAGAGAACTGCGACAGAGAGGATGTTTAGTAGAACGAGGAAGTCCCGGAATAAGTCCATTTAATCCGGTGATCGGTTGATCCTATTATCCCATGAAGTTTAGCATGCGTCTGATCCTCTCCAGACCCCATATGATCCTGCCAACCCAGGTTTCTGAAGTGCCCATAACGGAAATCATGAATTTCTTTATACCGGTAGTGGCGGACGTCGTTGTCGAGGTCTTCGCGCGCTCTTGATCGTTGTCGCTGGGTTCCTCCGGGCTTTGTTGCCTCTTCACCTCGTTCTTCACGTCCTCGTTGTAGATTTTCACGAGCTCCTCGAGACTCAGCGGATCCGGACCGTCCTTCAGGCTCTTCGTGGACGCTATCAAGTCGTTGGCTACCTTTCGTACATCCTTCACACTCGCTTTTCCCTCTTGAACCAACCTGACCGTGTCCAAGAACTCATTGATCTTCATCTTCTGCCCCTCGTCCTTCAGTCGCACCTCGTGCGGCTTGAATACGTGGTCGTACTGAGTCGTCCTAGGCGGCTCTAATGTCTCCATCCTCGGCGTCGTTGTTTTTGGCGTTCTACGCGAAATAAGACCGATGTTCTCCAAGATTGATCTCATGTTGTTCGGAACAGCCTCGATCAACGACGGCCGTTCCGTCGACGCTGGCATGGCCTTCCGCTGGCGGCTTTCGCTGACACCGAGTCCGAACCTGGCTAGGAATTCTTTCATTTCCTCGTCCTTGATATTGGACGTTGGCAAAGGCTTGAAGTTAGTGTAGGAGTTGGTGTTCACGGTCGGTTTCGGCGTGGTCGTCGTAGTAGTAGTCGCCGGGTTGGACGTGTGCAGGCCGAATCGTTGAAACAACACCTGCACATCGGGCGTCAGGTTGTTCATTCCCAATCCGATCTCCGAGACCGGGTTCTCCGAGAAGGTGTTCTGAGCGGCTATCGACGGCGAGTCGGGCACTCCGGCCGTTAGACCGGACGTCATCGTATGGAGAAAGCCGTTAGTGCCGGGAATTTGGAACTTGGTTCCCAGATTCTTCTGATTCTTCGCGAACACCTCCTCCACGTTCATGGTGTTCTCCGGCCGAAGTCCAATCGAGGCGAGCAGATCCATCACCTGCGGACGCATCGTCGTAGTTGTGATCCTGCGGAATCCGCCGGAGTTAATATTGTACGTGGAAGTGTATTTGGATGTTTCTGAAGTGGAAGGGTAGGAGGAAGAAACGGAGGAGGACACGGGTGTCACGTAGATGGAAGTTGTTGATCGCTCGGTATCTGCTGCTTGCGCCATATTGAAAGATATTCTCGACGGGACGTCTTCGGTTTTACTCGTCGTTGTCGTCGTCACGGTATCCTCCTCTGATACTTTGATGGTCGGTAGAAACGGCTTCTCGCGGATCCTTTCGATCGCGGCTCTCGATGTTGTCGCGATTCTCTGAGTAGTGCTTGGCGGCGCGTTATAATGCCATTGATCGAAGGACAAGATGTTTTGCTGATGGCTGTGAGGACTGGACGTTGTTAGATCGAACTCCTTCGAGACACCCCGGAAAGGCGTCTCCGCGGTCGTTCGCTCGGTCGTCGCGCTTGTGCTGTACACGAGATACACGTCTTCGTTCTTGCTCGCGGGAGGCGTCTGAAATACCGGTCGCTTCGTTGTCGTAGCCAGTTTCTCCGTAGCTATCGACTGCTTCTGCAGGTTTTCCAAGTTGAAGCTGAACCTGATCGGCGCCGAGTCGTACTTGAGGGTTTCCTTTAGCGGCAACTTCGTCTGCACCTCCGAGTACGTATCCTTGTGATTCTTGTACCGTGTCTTCGTGTGCGAGCTCTCCTTTGGCGTGCTTTTCTCCGCCGCGTGCGTCACCACGAGATTCTCCAGAGGCTCCTTGTCGCGCAGCGTCTCTTGCGTAGTAGACGTCGACGTAGACGTCGAAGGGAACGTAGATGTAGACGTCGAAGAGAATGTGGACGTCGAAGGGAACGTAGACGTAGACCTGGTTGTTGTTGTGGTTGTGATTGTGGATGGCGATGGCTGTAATAGTATCTCGTTCTTCCACTTCTCGAGGTCCTGCGAACTAAAGGAAGGATCCGCCACTAGCTTTACTATCGGGGGTCTTGTGTACAGCTCCTTGATGTTCTCTTTCGCGTCTTGCGCGTTGTAAGGCAAGACCACCATCAACGCCTTCTGGTAGATCTTCCTCGCCTCCTCGACAGTCTCTTTACTCTTGTGTATCTCGATGTCCTTGGACGTGATGTTGAATAAAATATCGACGATCTCATGCCTGTTGAGGCGCGGCAGGCTCGGGTCCTGTTGAATCAGCCTTTCGACCTCGCTGACCGTGCGGTTGATCGAGCTCTCGACCTCGTATCTTGATGGGAGTTCATCGCAGTGACCTAGGCCGAGAACGATCAATACACAGAATAGCGCGATCTGTGGAAACAATAATTATTCCAATTAGGCGACTGACGTTAGAAAAGTGAACGTGACGTTAGAAACTGATTGAATTACGTATTACAATTAATCAAATAACGTTAGAGAACTGAAAGAGATTTTGGCGATAAGAGAGATTGGCGATAAAAATAGGAAACACCGTGCGAAAAGGGCGAAACTTTTCGCGCGGTTATCCGCAATTAGTCGAATGAACGACCATGACGTTTAACTCTACAATATTTATCCTTCTTCGCTTCAAAACGCCGATTAACGAAGTGTCGCGTGGCGCACTACGGGACATCTGTATTTCTCGAGATTTCAATTTCAAGATTTATATCGTGATACGCGGGAGACGTTGTGCAATCATAGAAACAATTCCCGTCCGATCGTAATGGATCTCTCCTTGAAGATGTGTTTTATGCGTATTCACATGCGCATTCTGAATTGCAACATACGTTAGGTATGTCCTACATATGAGAAATCATATCGAACTCATATAATTAACACACTACGCGACGTTTACTCCGATAATGCGCAAACCTCGTTGCTTAATCAGAAGCTAAAGAAGAACATGGCGAGGATCTGTGTCAGTCGCATATTCCTTTTCATATTTATGAGCAAATGTCGCAAAGGAGCCTTGAGAGGATCGCCGATGTCAAAGAGCATAGTTAGTTGATTCATATAATCCCGATCATGTCGTAATTGCATCTCGCGCTGCGTATCTGCGCCCGTTCCGTTTCGTCGGATGTTCCGCCGGACAATCGCGCAACGTCCGCGCTAAAAAAAGTGGCCTTGCAGTCATAGGGAAAATTTTCTTGGTGGAGGAAGAATATGGATAAGTAAACTAGAGCAAATATTACGATATCTCTCATTTATGCTTTGCCAATCAATATAGATGACAGCGACATAATTTCTATCTGAACTGTTCGTGAAATTTAGCGCGAGAAAGTCTGTCTATAGTATTCATCCGGATTAAAACTAGTCGCACTTCTTATTAAAATTGACTTTGTAGTAGACAAAAAAGCTACGAGAGACAAGTGAATTTATAGTTCTCACATTCGTATCTAGGTTTGCTCGCATATAGATAATACTGCCGCCGTAAATTCCACGTATCACAGACAATTTCCCAGCAAATACAACAACAATACATTTTAACTGTGATATTTAAGCTAAGACAATGTACTCTTTGCTTCCTGTTTCTTTTTTTATCTCTTTCTGACTCAGATCTTAAGCTTTAAGCCAGAAAAGGATAGAGAACAAGAAATAGGAAACAAAGAGCATATTGCAGATTGATTTTTAGAATTCTATCTGGACCAGCAGAACGTTTTTTCGAGTGCACTTCACTTCTCTACGTCATAAAACTCGATGCTTTCCCAATGTGCCGTAATTTCACAGTTCTCCGGCGAACCGTGATTCCACAACGATGTCGTTCGCTCAATATATAAGGAAAAATATCGCGCTCTCGAGCGACGCAGACACGTGACGGGGAAAAGGCGAACGGCGGAGGACGAAAGTCACTTTCCGCGGAAATTCGGCGGTCGAGTTGCTCGATTTTGCATCCCCGCTCGGGAAACACGGGCCTGCAATTTCCGCCCGTGATTATGGCGTGTCGGCGCGCGCGCGACACAACCTAACGGGAAATCGGCGATCGTTACCGTGCATGATCGCCAGGCACGATTAGGAGGAGCACGCAGAGGGACAGCGACCGGCAGCGAAAGCATCCGCGATGGGAAATGCGATTCTCACGACAAGCCTTCCGAGACGCACTCGAGCGATAATTACGATTAGATGTAGAAATAAAAAAAGAAGTGCGCTTAACGAGCGAGCGGCAAAAACGTCGCCGGCCGGAAAGAGCCGACAACTTTCACAATCCGATGTTGCGCGGCAACGTTGAAAAATATTCACCCGATTTCGTGGTGAAAGATCCTGATTTTTATTCGAATTCGCGATGCCGACATGCTAATGCGCGCGACCATTGACCGTTTGACTAATCTACGCGCAATCCTTGCGGTGTGTACGAATTTCACATTGAGAATTAATGAAATCACGTGGATTCATGTATATCAATTTTCGCAAAATTGCTCAACATTCCTTCACGAGCGCGGCGATAATTTTCAAATTAGTCATTTTGTGCAGTAATATCCACCCAAATTTTGTTAAGTAAGGTAAAAGCACCAATGTCTGGATATGTACACTGAGAAAAAATATCTAAAAATTACCAAAAATTTATTAGGTGGGTACTATTAATATATTTACTTAAAATTAAAATTTTTACTTAAAATTAAAATAAAAATTCTTTTCATTTAAGCCAAGTATTGTTTACTCGATTTAAGTAAACAATATTTGATTTAAATAAAGAGAATTTTAATCTAAATAAATACGTTAATGGTATCCACCTAATAGATATTTGTTAATTTAAAAATTTTTTTTCTCAATGTACCTAATGATATAGAAAAAAAAAATTTGGTTGAATGGACTAAATATCTGGTGAAATAAAAATGAGCCAAAATTCTACTTGAAGTTACCAGAATTCTGTTCAAGCTAATAAAATTCGGGTTAAACAGAATCGTAATTAATTTGACCCGAATTCTGGTAACTTTAACCGTCCAACTTCTATTTCATTGATATTTCACCAAATATTTCATTAATCCGACCATATTTTTTTCCGTGCGGACATTTTTGTTGTTTTAGTTTTTAGAGATACGAATATTTATACTCTGTTAACATAAAATACACATATATATACATATATTCTGTGTTAAAGCTTTAAATATTTGTATTTAAAGACCAAAATAGTAAGAATGTTCGGAACCCAAAGAGCTTCCATCTATATAAATATTAAGTTCAAAATTTGTGTACTAACATCAATCATTTAATAATCACTCAAATAACGTATGCAATATTTTGCAGCTCTTCTTCCTCAAAAGAAACCAGAATTCTAACGTAATGCTTGTGACATTTAACATTTCACCACACCAACGCGCTAATTATCTCTAAAATCACACAATTCGCGTAACAGTCACTCGAAAGCGCCCAAAAAGTGTTTTCTCAAATCATGTTGCCGCGTTCGACAGACGTCGTCCGTCGTCTGTCGCGCGAAGAAGCGAAGTTTCGATTTCAATCAGAGGGTACGCCGTCGTGTTTCCACCGGTGAGACATTCGTCTAAATTTTCCTTTCGTTCACTGCGCGATCACTTTTGATGTTTTCCGCGTGCATGCTCGATGACTAACACGTGTCCTGGCGTCGGCACGCGCGGTAAACACGAACGGCGACACGCGCCACGCGCAAATTCGTTCGCGTCCGCAAAAATCGCGCAAGCGCTCCTTGCCGTGTGCTGTTCCAGCGAGAGAACGTTCGAGTCGCTCGAAAACTCACCATTACGCCGACCAATCGTCCGGACATGTAGTCGACAACTGACTGAACGACTGAGGCCTACTTTCGAACTCTCTCTCTATCTTACTCGCTTGATTCTCCTCGGCTCCTCTGACGCACAAACGTGCGCGCGTCCACCTGCTTGCTCGCCGTCGAGCAAACTATTAAGGCCAAAACACACTGTGCCTGTGGTGAGGGAGAGAGCAGCGAGGAGCAAATCCGAGGACGGATTCATATCGATATATGTTAGCTTTCGACGTGAGCTTAAACCTCCATACGAGCCATTCAGCGAAACGTACGCACTTCGTATTACTTTTTGCATCTCGACTGTGACAAGCTTGCACATAGAAAAATATCATTTCACTGTTACGAAAAGCGATTACTCTCAGTTTGTAATGGTTGTTTTTAACGATAAATATCTTCTTGATGATAGTCTTAAAATGCATTCATCACAAATTGAAGAAAAGCTCATTATCATGTATTATAGAGAAAAATGTATTTTCTTTATAAGAATATTATAAAACTCGATGTAATATCGTAGGAAAAGTTGGTTCAACTCTGTTTAGTAAGCAAATCAAACTTTTTTTTTTAATTTGATATTCTTGATTGAAGTGCTAAACTTACTAGAGTTCGGAATATATCTTGAATAAATTTAATGTGATGAGAAAACTTTTGATGCATTTGCAGACATAAATTTATAAGATACTTGAAACAAGTAACGTTTATTTGAACGTAGTATGTATTTTTTCACGTGTGTGCATAGAGACTATTTATTTGACTTTTTAACACGTTATTTATCAGCTTCGCACATGTGGTTCATTTTATGTAAAATATTCAACTTGCCTGTTTAACATATTCCATATCTGAACAAGTACAAACACGCATATCAAGCATAGCTATTAAAAATAATGGCTTGTAATGAGTGGCTTTTATTTTAAGCTATTAAAAATAATGAGTTGTAATGAGTGACTTTTATTTTAAGCGCGTTTTTATTTTCTCACTCTCGTTCGTCTCAATGAAAGTGATGCAAAGCAACGTTAGTCGTCGCGAATCATTCTTCAATTTATTTGCTATCAGGAAGATAATGGATGCTTCCGAAATACCCAGAGTTGGGTCGAGTTGAGTTAGTTCCACTATAGTATATGTAACGGATACTATAGTGGAACTAACTCAACTTGACCCAAACCTGGACATTTCGGAAGCACCCACTGAGACATCGGTGGTTTTCGGGCCACGCGAGATCGCTAATGAAGCAATTAGTGAAGTCAAACACCAGTAGCCGCTAACATAACAGTCGTTTATTCGCTATCGCGATAATTGCCGGCATAATCCGCAGTGTGTAATTAAACAGTAGCGGCAAACGTGCACGCACAACGTTTAAGCGAGCATTTAAGAGGACGCACTTTCGCTCCGAAGATGCAACATGTGGCGTACGTGCGTTGAGGTAAAAGCGACAAAAGTCGCATCAACTATATATATATATATATATATATATATATATTGTTTAGTCGTTGTTGGACGTACTTTACGACTAGTTTCGACCGAGATGTCTTGTTTCAAAAAAGCCGGCGAGATGAATACTCGGATAACTTTCCCGACCGCCGTGTGACGTATGATCGGGCGCGAGATCGAGAAGTACGCGTTGATTTTTCAAGTTCAAGGAGAAGGAAAGTTCCGCTCGGCCAGTAAGAACCAGGTCGCCGATTCCCCGCATGCGACGTTATGCCTCGCGTAAATTACAATTCGGAATGTTCGCCCGGTGTTTTGAGAAAGCTCGTTGCATTGTTTTCGGCGCTTTCACGCGCCTGTATCGAGGTCGGCGTCGAAATCGACCGATACTCCGATTCTTGCGCGAACAACGCAACTAGATCGGCCGTGATGTTGTCTCTCGTGTTTGAACTTTTTTCTACGCACAAGAAAACAGATTATATTAACAATTTTCTTTATTAACAGGCCAGGCAGCACAAATGTTCAAAATCGAGTTATAAGATGTCTTTAAGACAATATCTTATAAACTTGTCTTAAAGATGTCTTAGACCGGTATTCATAGTCTAATCTCATTTCAAGACCGTCTTAAGTAATGTCTTAAGATACGAATACAGCTCTGTAATTGGTTTATGACATCTTAAGACAGTACTTAAGATGCTCTTAAATATAAGATCGGACTATGAATATTGGCTTTAAAGATGTCTTAAAGACGTCTTATGATCCGATTTTGGACATTGTGTTGTCTTGGAGCTTATCAATTTCCTCCCTCTCTACTCACTGTATGACAAATACTTGCGCGAATCGTATTCTCGATTGCCACACTTAAATGAAGACTGTCAACAGTAAAAGCAAGAGATAGTTCTTATATGTATATATTACTTACGCACTTCACATGTATTACCTTGAAGTCTTGAGAAGCAGCACGCTCAGGTTTTATTTCTCAACAACACAATTCATAGTCAGACAAGAACTTTTATTTTTTTTCCAACGGTAAAGAGAATTAAAACTTGTCCGAGCCGTTACTCAGTCTTGCCGTTAAATAATGAAAAAGTTTATTCGATCTGTCGTCGAGTCCCACCGTTTTGAAAATGTAAAGATCTGACTTACCGTTTTGAAGATGTAAAGATTCTGACTTACCACTGACAATGAGTCGTAAAATTTGAAAATAAGAAGGGTTATTAGGACGTCGTCGAGACGTAATATTCGAAAATAACGAAAAAAGTTTGACCTGTCATTGAGTTATACTACGATCTCACTTTCTCGTCATGGAGTTCCTCAAGCTAGACTTAGGACCCCATTCGCCATTTGTAGGTGGAAGTGAGTGATGCAGAAGTTGCGTGCTTCATCTCAGTTTTAGAGCTTCCCTCTCACTTCTACTCGAGTTTTTTTCTTACTTCCATTCACGTTACTCTAAAAAATGGAGGACCAGACTAATTAAGAAACATCATGCTTCATTCTAACTCTGACTAGAGGAACTTTACCTCGTTGGAAATGGTGGCGGCTCGTAGCGGGACACGTGAAAGTAACGAGTTGCTTGGCTCCTCGGATTCAGCCGAGACTCAAACCATATTTAGCCGTGACTCTCGGTCTTTACACGGCACCGCTAAATGGCGCCAGGCAGTCCGTTGGCTGTTTCCCACCTGGTCTGGCGAATCGACTATTATTTCAGAGTGTAGTTGTAGTCTCCGCTATGAGCCGCCACTGTCTCCACTGACTGAAATCGAGGTCGTAGTACGACCCGACGACAGGTCAGGCGGGCTTCCAGCCAACACAACGCTGTATTTGCTGAAATTAAATTTTAATCTTTTTAGTATCAACTCATATTCTGTTGGTCGAGAGTGACAAGTTTTAAACATTCTAAATATTATTTTAATATCTCCTCATCATATTATAGAAAACCGTTAAATCTTCGTTACGTTGCATAATCAAAAGGTAATGAAGTAACCATGAATTGGTAATATAAGGATACGGTCGATAAGTTCTAAGATCCAAATGTCCAGGAAGCGAACGGCGCGATGAGACGCGGCTACTGAGTAAATTCCATTATGCAGCTTCCCGATTCTGTTTTCGTACCGAATGCAAACCGAATTAGATAGCGGGCGAACTTTGACGAGGAATAGCAAATATACGTTAATGAGAAAATGTTGTTAACCCGAGAGCAGCGGCTCATCGCCATCTCCAGCTGAGGTCTCGCGACGACAACGGTTGTATAATTACGCGTCTCTCGTATCTCCGTTGTTTTCGTAGATGAAATCACATTAACGCAACTACGCCCGCAGTTGATTAAACTCCAATCCAAGACAGGCGGGTCGAAATGATTCCACTTGTTCTTTCTGTAGAATCGATCTGTTCAATTACCGTGTCTCGAATCTCAATGAACGCGCGAAATTAACTCGCCTGGCGAGACGTTGATTGTCCGTTGTCAAACATTCGTGAGTTTTTCACTTTCTGTCGCCCGATTACTTCCGTAAGTACACAGGCTGTTCCAACGCGCGCTTCACGTTCGTACATCAGCTTTGATGTCAGTGTGCGTAATATTAACGCGAGAGAAAATTACATATACGGAGAGAAAATTTTTATAGTAAAAATTGCTCTAAGATTAAGATTTCTTGTCACCAAGGAGTACACTGAGAGAAAAAAATAGTTGGAATAACTATAATCTCACTATATTTTATAGTTCGTTTTGGCCTCAAATATATATTTATAGTTCATCTAAACACGAAGACATAACAGAATAAACACACATTTATAGTCACCATCTTATTACTCTATGTGTATAGTAAAGCATGCTTTGCATATAGTTACATGTACTCATATTTTCCAAATATTCCAATTATATTGACTATATAAAATAGTTAATTTCTCTTACTATTTAATATTTGCTACCTTACTATGTTTTTTATTTCAAATAATTATAATTCTTGATAAAAGTTTTACATGAGTCAGTTATGCTTATATTATAAATATTACAAACATTATGGTGACATTTATTATAAAAAAGATATTCCTAACTATAATCTTTTTACTATGCCATTATAGTTCCAAATATCATACATTTTTCTCTCAGTGTAGGTTGAAATTGCGCAGTGTTATTATAATTCGCTCTCTATCCTTTCATTTCATATGTGCTATTTATATTTTAGAAACTAAAATGTTTCTATACGGAAAAAAAAACAATTTCGTTAGTATAACTGAATTTTCTTTTACATTGAGAAAAAAATATTATTTGTAGCACATAAAGAAATAATCGCCATAAATTGTGGTGAAGAAAACCATTTTTTCAATTTTGTTTCAATTCTAATTCAATTCTACTATAATGTTAGTGACAATAACTTTATATGCATGTCGTCATTACCATTTTTTTTCTCGACGTATCTGGGAATCGGATGGAAAATTCGGCTATAGAAACAGGAAGATTCTCATAGGAGGTTTCTAAACAGCTAATTGCTCTCAGTTATCTCAACTGAGTTTTAATGCAACTGTATGTTCAGGCGAGTGTTCCCGGCCGCAGTAACAGAAATATTTCTCATTAGCGAGTTTTTTGTCTGGTCTCTATTCAGTTGTACAAACTGAGACTTCTTTTTCCAACTTCTGCTACGTTGCTAGCGAAATTAATTGTGTTTTCTAACAAGACACTGACATCTCTCTGACAGTCTATTCCTGGATTATCGAAAACACAGTAAAATTGAAAAAAATTCATATGAAAAAGGGAAAAAATATTCTCCCCGTGTAGGTGGTCGTATTTTACACACAAAGCGCATAACACTCGCGAGCTCCCGTATGCTCTCACCGTTATCCATTTCCCGCTAAATCGTGCACTCTCGTCGATAGAGTATGCCGGTAATGGACGGTATTCGAGATTACCGCGGAGTCTTTCGAGCACTAATATCTCGCGCTACGCTACGTGCGAGAACGTTCGCGGCTTCGCGCGCGCCTCTTTTTCTCCCTTTATTGTTGCTCAGGTAAACTCCGTTTACGTTTCCTCCCGGACGAGATATCCCGGCGTACATCGATATTCGCAATTTTCCACGCGCCGCGAGCGTTTTAATTAGTTTTACGCGAAACACGCGCATTTCGCTCGCGCTAACGACCCCCGGACTATTTAATTGTGGTCGAAACATCTTTTTAATAAAACAAACCTGGCAGGCGCATCTCGCGCACGCCCCGGCTGTTACATGGGGGTAGTTTGCGGAGTTGTAACGAGCTACCGCTACTGCCGCCACCGCCGTTCTCGCACACTTCCTCCACACACATACACACACACACGCGCGCGCGCATCCATATATACACGCAGCTGGTCGCCGCATTAGCTACAGACACACACTGGGGTGTGTTTGTGCAACGGGGTTGCTGCAATGCGCAACGGCTACGCCGGGATCACGACGCTTCGCCGTCATGTTTAGGAGCATTGTTAAATATCTCTTGCATAACGCGCATCTCGTGCGTTTCCCCACCTACGATGACTCCGTCATCACGAAGCTCTGTCGAATCGTCGCTCGCTCGTTAAAAGTGACAAGCGCAACGGAACACAACGCCCGGAGTTGCAGCTGTTCAGCTAAAACTCGACGAAACCACCGGGGACGCGTGTGTCATTGTATTCGCGATGGAGATACGCGAGAAATTGGCAAAATTATGACGAATGTGGCGAAAAGTGTCGCCTTACTTTTCGCGAAGGACGCGATTATTGCCACGAGCCGTCGTGGCGAGACGACAAGTATAATTCATGCCAATTTATTCGCTCGCTGTTAGGCTCGAAGGGATAAATTTCCACCTCGTTGCGAGGACGGGAGGATAAATGTCGTATTTTCTCCGCAGTTCCTGCGTGATTAATGACGGATTAGTGAAAAAAGGAATTCGTTTCCGTTGAAGGGGATATCGCGCGATATGCGATCTCACGGGAGGTGAAGAGAGACGGGCTTCGAAAAACAATCTTTATTTCGACCAATCTTAATTTAAATGAGTCATAACAAAAAGAAATAGTGAACATCTCAAATACAGTCGCATATTCCGCAGCTAAGTGTATCGTGTGTATGATCGCTATACAGTGATAATTTATACACTCACTATGTACAAGACATTCAGTTTAATCTCAGATTAGTTCGCACTTATTGCACAATATGCGGTAATTATTACTAATTAATAAACTGCCGTGCGCACATGGCGGGCGCCATAACGCGAGCGAAACTCTGTTATCAGTGCCGTTGATTGTCTATGTTGTTTGTCTATGTTGTTTCCTTACGTTTTGCTTCGGTTCGCGAGCGCCGTGCATACAGGGTGTCCCCGAGTCCGCGACGCCGTGTTTCGACGTCGTGCGTTCTTCCAAAATTCTCCCTTTCTACCAAGCTGTGAAACTACACAATGTTCAAATCAAAGTCGCGCTCAATAAAAACGTTTCAGCCTATTCGAGAGAGGCCCTGTCGAAAGATCGAATTGCGTGTGTTAACACAGCTCCAGTATGTAAACTGCGAAGATTCTCTTACATCTGCACGTCTTTTACCGTGAAATAATCGACTGTCATGTGAAACTCGGCGACACCCTGTGTACGGAGGAATGTCAATATTATATACGGCCGCCAAGGGGAAACCGAGAGACATCGTCTTTCGTTTCGGCGAGATAAACCCGCGGTTGCACACTTTTGTCCCGTTAGGCACCACGTTGCTGACAGGGTTCGCGCAAACACCCTCTGTTATTCCCTTCGCGAGCCCCGCGGTCAACGCTCGTGCTCTTTTTCCGCTCTTGTTTTATTTGTTACGTCGGCAGCATGATAATGCATTCTCTCACACTCTTTCTCTCTTCTTCGTGTTATACAAGATGTCTGACGCAAGACACGACAACACACATGGTATACACGGAGATCCAACCAGTTTTTCTCATATAAATTCTTTTTAATTTCATTGTGTCACATAGTCTGAAACTAGTCTAGAACTCGCTATAGTCTAGAACCAGATTGCCAGTAAAACCTGATCTACAATATGCTCTTTGCGTCTTGTTTCTTGTCTTCTATCTTTTTCTGGCTTAAAGCTTAAGGTTTGAGTGAGAAAGAAATAAAGAGAAAGAAGCAGGAAGCAAAGAACACATTGTGAATCAAGCTTAAGATCCGTCTTGTTAAGGAACATAGTAAATTTCACTGGAAGCAACATGTGTTTTAATAGCACATTCTAGTTCCTAAAATATAAGTAGCGTATATGAAATAAAAAGTACATTACTGCAGAATGTCGATCTATTCCTCTTTACAAAATCCTGCAGTAATGTTTGCCACAAAGTTCTCTCCGTGTGGAGCACGTCAATCTGAGCAGAACGATTATCATAGCTCGTCTCTCTCACGCGCACTGATTCGCTACTCTTATTAGTGTCTCTAAATTTTACGTGGTTTTTTTTTAATGGTAGTTTTTTTGCTCAGGTTGACTGCTCCATCCGCACACGTGCGTTATTATGTCTTGCGTTAGATACTCTGTAGACGAATAGGGTGCGGGAAGGATTCCTGCTTTTATTGGCGGCAATCGCGGGGAGTACCAGTCGTTGTGTTCTCCGGAGCGAAATAAGGATCCGCGCTGCTCCCTTTTCACGTGCGAAAAACGGCCGCGTTTCCCTCACCGCGATGTGGACGAGCGCGAAGGAGAGAAAAGACGTGGAAAAGTGGCGGTCGAGGAGGACGCGATAACACGTTAATGCAGAGGAGGTTGTAACAGATTACAATCGCATCGTCGAGATGTAGAATAGAGACAATGGTAGAAGCCGCGAGCGCAGAGTAGACACACGAAGTACCCCGGAGAATACACTTGATGTTGCTTGTCAGATGGCAAATTACATCGTTTCATTAAATCAACACCATTGTGTTCGAGGATTAATACAGCAAGAATAATATGACGGGTACAGTACACTCGTGTTTACCCGACGCCCTCGAGCGTTCTACTTCTTCTGGGGAGGGTTGCAGAGAGAAAATACATCAAAATGTCTCGAAATTTCGAAGTCGTTCAAACGTTGACACGTTCAAGAATTATCACCGGGCCACGCGTGGACGCGATTAGATGGAGAAATGTTGAATTTGGAAATTGGAATTTAAGTGGCAAATATCGCACCCCTCGAGATCCGAGGCGGAAACGCGTCGTTAACCCGAGAATACCACACTTAGCTGTACCGCACACATGCTGTTGTTGAAACAGCCGCCGTTTCTATATAACGAAAGGTAGGGAGTCGGAATTTGAGGCGAAAGGAACACTTCTATCTTCCCTCTACAAATCGCCTATGCTGCGCAATTCCATCTGCTGTTTAGCAAATGTAGAATGGTAACGTTGAAATCGCTCTTGACGTTACAATTCTTCGTGTTAAAACAATATATATTTTTCAAATCGCTGTTTCACATTTTTTTCTGAAAAATTACATCTTTCACCTTTAACAAATAGCATTTAGTTTTTTGCAATACGGCGTTATAAAGAAATATAAATATAAATTGTCGAGCAAGTAGCTTTTTTGTAATTAAGAAAATTTCTATTCGGTCTTTTTGCAAAATTAATTTTTTTTTTTTTTAATCTCAGTGTCGTAGTTAACGATATAGACGTATTCCTAACATTTAAATGAAAATGTATGTGTTTAAATGAAAAAAAAAGATAATATAAAAATATAAGAATATCTACTTTTCGAGAAAATATTTATGATTGAAAGTGCACTCTGTACTCTATATTGAAATTGGGATTTAAAAGAAGTATGTTATAAGTTTAAACTAAACCCACCTTATCCACGGTCGCGGTTCCAAGGTTTAACATGCATCGAGCACGTAATTGAAGCTGTTTAATTGTGGCCTAGCTCGACCAGTTGGCTAAGCCATCGTCTGTGAAACTATGATTCTCTGAGAGAGAGAAAGAGAAAGAAAGAGAGAGAGCAGCAGTGTTATTGCAATAATACTAACTTGCCACAAATATATAATAGTATAGTACATACGTTCGAAGAGCAAAGAATAAAAAGAGAAGTGATAACTCTCTTTTCACACGCGTGGTAACATTAATATCACTACAGGATTAATTGCGATGGAAGCGCTTTGCCGTGTGTAGCCACGACAGTACGAACAGAGAGAAAGGAGCCTCGGCGAATTTGTCATGAGAGATCGGTTGTTGAAAATTGAATTTAGTACCCGTGATGCATGCGATATGAAGAATTTAATAGCACCAACGAGCCGAGATGTTTGCGAATTTCGATCGAAGCGAAATTGGACTCTGTTGCGGTGGCAGGATCTCACGAGTTTCCAGATAACTCTCAGAACGAGTTTGTCCGAGAGTGAGAATCCACATATCATCATCTTCTTCTTCTTCTCTTCGTCTTACTCTGACGTGATATATATATATATATATATACCGGCGGAACGAAATAAGAATATAAAAGGAACGACTGAGTCTGAGGGTGGCGCGCGTCCTGCATACGTAGCCCGCGTAACTCGCCTCCTTATATTCCCCGCTTTCACCATTTATTCTCCTCCGTTCCTCGAACGTCCTACAAACTTTTCAAGTTACCTAACTTGTGTTACTTCTTGCGAGCACGAGGAGGAGGCTTGCTTGGTCAAGAATTCGCGCCGGAGAACGCGACGAAAGTAGAAGGAAGAAGGACGATGAAAGGTGATGGAGGAGGAGGAAGAAGGCTTTTATCTCTTCATTCGTCTTATTTTACCCGTGTCGGCACTCTAACTACTCTCGTCGTATCAGCGCCGATTATTACGTCGCCGATTATTACATCGTGAGCAAATCGAGGGGGCGATATATTTTTTCCCTTATTTTTTATTTTTGTTTCCAACGTTATATACTGGACACAGTAATACGATTCTTTTCCGAAGGGGAGTGTTTTTAATTTGTTTTTCGCTCTTGCTCCCGTCATCTCCTCCTCTCCACTTCTCTGTCGCGTACGTCCGCTTTTTGCGCTGAGAAAGAAGTATTTGAAAATTTATTTGTGAGATATAAAGTTCATATTGCTGCGCGAAATAAAATCAATTTCTGTTATATATAGAATAAAGTTATATATAGTTATATATAGAATAAAGTTCTGTTATATATAGAATAAAGTTTATTTCCGCAAAATAAACTTTTGTTCCACAGAAATTTTCAAGTATTTTGTTCTCAGTGTGGGGCATATGGCGTGCGCAGCTTCGATCCGTCTCGGGGAAGCCAGGTTTGCTTTCTCCCGCGAGATCGTATGGCGATCTCCCGCAATCGTCGGCAGCAATTTTACGCTGGCTTTTCGGGCTTCGTGTGTCGGTAAATGTCGCGATTTGCGAGTCCACTGGGGAACGGCACAGCTGACGGCGCGAAATTATTTTCGGCGAATAATAACCGACAGTTAGTTCCATCTCGGAGCGCGCCGTCAAACGCGCGCCAGACATTCCCCCGGCACAGTAAAATATGTACACGTTTAATGTAGCTTAATTGTGCCGAGTTGTTACTTCGACGATGGATGGAGGAAGAGGAGGGGAAGGAGGTGGAGGACTTTTTCGTATGACTGGCGCGGCGTTATTGCGAAGATCCTCGCGTATGCGTTCGCGAGAGTTTCTAATGAAATCTCGACGTGCGCACTCGCGCACGCACGCGAAATTTAATATCAGTTAATTAACAGCGCGCAGCGAAATATCCGGCCGCTGATGTTAAATTGCGCGCGAATTTACTCCCGCGATCGAGATGAATCGGGCGAAATGAGCCCTGATGAGCACAAGGATACTTTCGGATGTGTGGAGTTTTGAATTTATTACTAAACTTCCAAATTTATCACTTGCAAATATACGTTCCCCGCATAAAGCGCACGCTTTATTCTACTTTAGGGAATCTCGAAAGACAGGTGGGAACTTAAATCCGAAATTTCGTCAGTACCTTCTCTCGGTTTTCAACGCGCCTCGGTTTCGTCGACATGTAGGCTAATGAAGAAGAGTCCTTGGATTCTACAAAGTTGCAGAGAAATCGTGTCTAACGGCTTTAACATGCGCTGCAATTAGAGTCAAAGAAGATAGATAGATAGATAGATAGAGAGAGGGAGAGAGGGAGAGAGAGAGAGAGAGAGAGAGAGAGAGAGAGAGGGAGGGAGAATTAGGGGGATGAAGAACGAGAAAAAAGGCGCAGCTAGGAAAGAATCGCCGGTTACAAAGTGAATATTAAATCGGAAATCTGATTAAATTGAAGCTCTCTCGATTGTAACATGATATTCTCGTACCGCGAATGCATTTTTCCACTCTCTTCCGGGCCTCGGCATAATCGCGTCGCTGTAGAGCTGAGCCTTTAACGGCGACGTGCGGATTAAAATTTATCGAGATTAGCTTATTTCCGAGCGCACGAGTTGCACGCATTGTACCTTTAGCGCGACACCACATTCTCGCGTACATTTGATAATCGCGTCGGCTATTGTTTCCCCTCTTTGCATGTGTGTGCACACGCATATTTTACATTCAGCAACGCGTCTCTCTCTCTCTCTCTCTCTCTCTCTCTCTCTCTCTCTGTCTCTCATTCTCATTAAACAATTAACGGAATGAAACTGCTGCGTTAACGTGTCGCTTTAATAATGTATTAAAGAATGAATCACACGAACAATTGATATTGTATCTTCTGTTCACGCGCGCGCATTCATACGCGATGTTATTTCAACGTAATCGGAATATTATCGAGCGAGACAAGTGACACGATATACGTGTGTTTCGTATAAATTACCGCCACTTCCGTCGAGGAGCAGCGGCTGAACGGCATTATTTAAAGCGAGAGCGATTTAAATACGTTGTAAAATCAGATGTGCGCGCTGGGAACGACGCTCGAGAGGTTCCGCTCTCGCAGGCGAAACGCGACTCTTGAAATTGCAAACTCGCGTTCTCGCTCGTCATACTCGCAGCATGAGTTCGCGGCTTCCATCGGGCGTTTCGCGGGGAATAGTTAATTCCCCGCGAAGGAAGCGAAGAGAATAGAAAACGTCGCGTCTTTCAAGCCCACCTCCGCGACCTGAAAACGTCACTTGCATGCGTCAGCTTCGGCCCGATCGTTTGGCTTCATCGACGATGTGAATTGATTCCTCATGCGCGGGACGAGATCCGTGACATTTATACTTCCGCTTAACGAGATTGTTGGGATTCGAAGATGATCTCCGACGTGAACGATTGCGTCGCGCCCGTCCGCGCGCATCCGCCTGAAAGTCTGCCTGAACTCCTCGCGAGCACAAATGCATCATCTAAATGCGCGATTCTCGCGATAGAATGTCGGGATGAGGGAAGGGGTAATTTTATTCTCGGCTGATTATCGATCGCGGCGCGTAGAGCAAAAGCGAAACAGCGAGAGGGAAAGAGAAGGAGGGCGGGGGAGAGAGAGGGAGGGAGTATTCCCTTGATCTACTTGCGTGTACTGAAGTTTCCGCGTAATGGCTCATGAGAGGACAAAGCTTCCCTCAAGGATTCTTCTTTCAAAGAAGATAATATTGTATTATTAATACCATACGTATTTCTCGCGCGCCAAGAATTTAACACTGCAAGAATTAAAGTGGGACAGTGTATTAAATAATAAGAGAGCTTAATGAAACACGACGACCCGGATTATGAAACAACGGAGTAAATTAGAGAGCTGAACTATAATAGAATTAAATTGTATATAACACACAGACTCTCTCTGAAATGTGTATAACCTAAATGAGTGAAAGATCGTTGGATGCACTGAGAAACGAATACTTGAAAATTTATTTGTGGAACATAAAGTTTATTTGCAGAAATGGATTTTATTTCACAGAAATATCAACTTTATGTTCTAAAAATATTCAAGTATCTTTTTTTCAGTGTGTAAGTGCGAGTAATTTCAATCATGGAACATATTCAGATGAATCAACAATGTATATTATTCTATCTAATTAGAATGGGATAAGGAGCGACTATGACTAATGTGGACTTGAAGTAGAATGTAAATGAAATACACCGCGCACGTTGCAAGTCCGGAAAGATATTCGGCGCGTGCGTTCTCAAACCTTAATATTCTCCCATAATTATTTACATCCCAGTGATAAGGCTTCTTATAGGCCTGATCTTTCTCTTACGAATTGGAGAGAGCTTTTTGCGATTGATTTCACGCGATCGCGAAGTCAATGATCAACGGCGAAAGAAACTGCTTTGCGACTGTTGTAAAACTGTTATTTGTGAATCTGATTGGCATATATGCTCTTAGATTCAGCCAAGATTAGGAACATACACCGATCAGATTCATGAATGTTACAACAGTTGCAAAGCAGTTTTCTCTGCCGAATACAGTCAATGCCAAGTTTTGTCTCGGATCGCGAATTTCGACGAGGGGAGAGCGGAAGCGCGAGCAAAAATCGTGGAAAAACTCATTCTTCGGGACGTATATTCCGAAATATGTTTCGTTCCCGGCTCGTGTTGTGAGCAAACGGCTGTCGCTCCGACTTGTACCAAGTTGGACACGTGTTGTCGCGATTGAGGAGAGTTGAACGTGATGCAAGCGCCGTCGAGATGCGAATGTAAGATTCATATTTCCGTTGGATTAACGGTGATGCTCGTATGGTTAACCCGCGACAGCACGCTTGACCCGACTCCCCGACATTTTTTACGCGTATTAAGAGGCAAATGAGAAAACGTTATCATTTCACGTGTGTGTGCTCGGTGCTCACGCAATGTCCCGTCACGTCGCAATGTGTATAACGTTGATATGTCACTGTCATATGCAAAAACCAATGCCGACGCGTCGCTCCGTCGCGACCGCGGATGAAAAAAATATTTGCATATCCCATTTCTTTCGGCATAATGTTACACAAGAGGAGAGACCTCGCCGCGAGAGGTCGTTCGGTCGCGATATGTCGTTTTTATTCGCGTCGACGTTATATCGAATGATGTTAACGCCACAGCAGCACTGGGCTTTTTTTTCCAAAATCCGCAAAATCTCGAATTTATAGCTATCTTCACGGTGCGATCTCTTTGATCGCAAAAAAATTGATCAGTAGCGGAAATCAAAGTTTATACACATATATAAATCCTAATTGGATTACGCATTTTTCTTGACGCGTCTCGGGCTGTTATACCGATGCCACGTTGCGACGTGACAGAGAGGGAAATTTTCGGGACAAAAAAGACGCGTTGGCTCTCATTTTCTCTATATCATTGTTTACCTACATGACTTATATAATCTAACATTCGCGTTTAATTGTTGACGCGTGGGTCAGTGTGTGAGACGAAAGTTTAAAAAGTAATAAATAAGTTACCGAAGCAGAAAGAAACGTTCTCTCTCTCTTTGATGTAATTATTGCACAACTAGTCTCACCTCGGTAACTATACAACGCGAGAGAAATAATATAACATACATATATATGTATATATTAATATATATTTACAAACTATTTACAGGTAGCGGCGAATTATAAGATCCGACGATGTTTTTCTCTAACTTTTATCACAGAAGAAAATCGAATAACGTATCGTACAGCGCGTAGTGTGACGTTGTAAATAAACTTTGTACATGAATCGAATGGCTCAATGATTGATGATCATTGTTATTACTCATCTGTTCGCGAAACTGTTCGCGTTCGCGAATGAGCAACTACATCGCCGCGTGAAATATTTTGAAATCGCTTACGATAAGCGTGAGAATAGAGAGCGGATCGTTGCTCGACACATGGGGAGAGTTTCGCAATAAAAATTACTGCAGAACTTTGTGGCCGTGAAATTAATCGATATCCTGCAGTAATTCACTTCTGTAATTCACTTTTATTTTATTTCATTTTTATATGCTGTTTATATTTCAGGAACTGAAATGTACACGGAGAGAATATTGTAGTAGAAATTACAATACAGTTTTAGTAGACCGGGAATAGATTGGCACTATAGTGAAAATTATAAAAAAACATAATACAAATTATAATAAAACTAAAATTATAATAAAATATAGTAAGAGTGATCATGAACGTAATAAAAATTACCATAAATGTAGTAAAAATTATCATGTTTATGATCATGTTTACTACGTTTTATTATAATTTTCGTAATAATGCCATAATATTGTAGTAAAAATTACAATACAGTTTTAGTACTCCAAGATAAACTGATACTATGATGAAAATTATATAAGACTTGGTAAAAGTAACTATGGACGGATTAGTAAAAATTACCATAAATGTAAAAATGGTCATATTTATGATAAGTTTTACTATGTTTTATTATAATTTTTGTAATGATGTCCGTCTATTTCCGGAGTACTAAAATTGTATTGTAGTATTTACTGCAATACTCTCTCCGTGTACTGTTAAAAAATTTGTTTCTAGCGTTACTATATTTTCTTAGCAAGATAGACATTATTGACAGTCTATAACTGCACGACTAGAAACATAGTAAAATAGAAGTTAGAAACTGTGATGCGAACGAATCGGTAAATCAAAAATCGCGTCGCGCTTTCCTCATGCAGCTGCGTATAAACATATAAATATACAATAAAAATAAGTATATAATAAAAATAATAATAATAATATCAATTCGGATTCTGTACATTTCTCTACACAGAGAAATTCTATACACAGAGCGTGTATTCGCTGAATTAAGCGTTGATTTATTCACGGAAAAGAAGTTCAGTTGAATTAGCCAATTTCTGATAAGGTATGAACGAGTCAGAAAATATCACTTGATATAGAATTCTGTTCAGCTTAATTAGAAATCTCGTTTCCTTGAACAGAACTCTGGTAACGACTGGAATTTTTTGGTTCGTTTTTATTTCACCAGCTATTTGCATCCAGTCAAACTTCTTTTCCATGTTGCATTTGGTTCTTTTCTTTGACAAAACACGTCTACCATATGTAATAATAATTGCGTCTTACGCAATTATCAAAAAATATAGTAGAAAGAAAAGAAACTTCCACAACACACACCGACGATATATCGTACATGTGTTGTGTATGTGCACGTGACCATAGAACTTACGCAACATTTTGTCGGCTGAATATCGCGACGGTCTGCTCGTTAGTCGGACTCGAAGGAACGGATACGTGTGTGCTGGCGATGGGAACGCTCGCGGTGTCGGAAACGAGCGATCGTTCCTCCACGTTTTCAATTCGACACGTTCAACGAACGTTCGGGATAATGGAACACGATTAACGCGACGGAGTCGGCGAGCTTTTCGCTGCTCTGGGCGAGCAAAATGCGGACATTTTCGCGATCGCTCGTCATTCACGCACGCTGAGGGTAGTCACTGATAACAACGCTGGTTGAGCATTTCTCATCGATATCTCGTACATACTAGACATCATCTCATCGATTTCTCCCGAGTGATCATCGCGGCGATAATTGGCAATTAAAGCGCGACACTCGCCGCGCGATTCACATGAGACCGCCAATCGGCGGCGATCGTTCGCTCGCAAACATCTTAAACGATTAATTGGTTAATCCTAATCCGTTTATTATCGTGACCGCGACGGCGGCACCGACGCGATAGACTGGCGCGACGATAGCCGATTATTCGTGAGAATTGCATTATCATCGAGATTCTCCATTCGGCGTATGACTAGATTTCAATCGATCGGGGTCTCTCGAATATCTGCGGGACACTTGACGCGTTCCTCGCCGAATGAAGACGCGGCAAGGAAGAAATGGAAAAAGTGCACGGGGAAAATATTGTGGTAAAAATTACGTTGAAGTTTTATATCTCTTTTCACGTTGTGCGTCTTTTGCAAAATTAGACTGTACTGAAATTGTGTAGTGCAAGTTAACTATAGAAGTAATATATTTGACAATATATAATATAAAAAAATATTCAAGTAATTACAATTTTGTAGTAAAAAATCAAATGTACATAACATTTTCCATTTAAAACTATACAGTTTCTTCCATTTTAAACTATACAGCAATTTTAGTCATAATTTTTGTAAAGTTAAAAATATAAAAGTTACATTGAAATTATATATATATTTTTGTTTGTTGTAAAACTGGGCTATGTTAAAATTGCAGTATGAATATATTTGATAATATAGGAATAATATATTTGATAATATATGATATAAAAAAATATTGAAGTAATTATAATAATTTTGTAGTAAAGAATTAAACATACATAACATTTTCCAACAAATTATACAATAATTCTGGTCATAATTGTTGTAAAGTTTAAGACTACAAAAATTACATTGAAATTATATTTCTTTTTAGGCTGTTTATAAAGTTGGCTGTTTATAACACTGAAATTGTAATATAATTAAAATTGTAATAAATAATATATTTGACTATCTACCTCGAATGCATGATATAGAAAAAATTCAAGTAATTAGAATAATCTTGTAATAAAAAATCAGACGTGCATTTCGAACAAATTATATAAAGGTGTCAGTTATAATTTCTGCGTGGCCCAAGATCGCAAAAACTTTTCTGTTATTTTTATTGCAATATTTTCCCCATGTGCAAAACGAAACGTGCGACTTCGCAGTGGACTCGAGTGATTAGGCTACGGCAAACGCGATCGGCCGCGTTTGTTCTGGGAGGCCGGCGAATTCTCCCGATCTGTCTCCTCTTGGGTCGTTCACGCACGGTCGATCAACTCTCGTTTACCTGGAGATCTGGAGGCTAGTTTCCTCTCGAGAACGGGACGTCCCGTAGGGAGAGCAAAGGGAGAAACGGAGAACGAACGTGGCCGCGTAACGCAGGGGGTAGTTTGCCCCTTAATAAGCCCCTGCCGACGCGCCGCGACGTGTGACTTCGAACAGCGACCTCCGCGACCCTCGGGGGCGCATCCTCGGATAACACTGCAGCCGGAGGAGGCGCGCAACTAATCACACATCATACTTCACACTACACATCGACACGTACGCGGAAATAGAGAGAGCGATATGGAAGAGTGCACCTCGCGATCGTAGGAACTAAGAGAGCTTGAGGATGTGGTGCGCGCGACGGCGACGCATCCGTTCGACTCGACGGTGGGATCGAGAGAGCCTTGACCTCGGGAGCTTCGCTGTGCTGGAAGTCACAGCGCCCAGAGAGTAAATTCTCACTTCGTATTCCCCAAGCGTTACAATTAGGTCGGTCTTAATCGCCGCCGCCGCCGCCGCGGTTGCGGCTCGATCGGTTCAACGTAACGATCGTTTATTCCTCGTGTATTATTACGCGCTTCAGAGCGACACCGCGCAGCAATACGCGTTGCGATTTGTCATTACACGGAAACCTCATTTAGCCGCCGGCAGCACGAGCAACTCTCCCGAGGGTCTCCAGTCCGACGTGTTTTGAGATTCCCGTTCGACCGCGCGGAAGCCTTCGCGGTTGTCATCGCGCCAATTTCCAAGTGCCAATGCCGACCTGGGCAATTTGAGACCGCGGCGCAATTATGAGCCAACTGGCGGCGGCGGAATTGCCGGCAACTTCGCGACTATGATCAACAGCGGCGGAGGCGTCGTTCAGACTTGCGTAGGTAACACGACGACTGAACTACAATTAGCAGATTATAATCCTTCTGCGGGTCCCTCGGCGCGATTACAGCGTAACGACACGCCGCGCAACGCTCAAGTTTTCGGATTCACAGCCAATTTACGATACGAATGTATGTCAACACTGTCATTTTTTATTTTTCATTTCTTTTCGTTTTTTTTTTTTTTTCTTTTTAATTCGCAGGGTTTCGGCGTCGATTGATTCCCTACGAATGTGATAGCTTTCACGTATCTTTGGTACACGCGACTCGCGTCATCGCGTTTATTGCGGGCGCGATGTACATCACGATGCTCTCAGCCACTTAACGCACACGCCGGCAAATTATTGCGAGGCCGAATTTATCGCGATGAGGTAAAGTTGGCCGAGTTCTTTAGACAGATCGCGTTTGATCTGAAATCGCGGAGACCGAGCATTTGAAGTGTACGTCATCGACTAGTATCAGACTGGCTCGATGTTAAATCACTCCATTCTGAATTATTCTCTAATTCTTAGCGCATCACGACTTCACGCTCACATTCTCTTTGGCCTGTATCAGTAGTTGCCACTTGAAACTTATCTTATGTGAGATACTTGTTTTTATTCAGAGTATCCAAGTTTTTCAGTTGAGTTATGATACTCGTAGTTCTTATATCTGTTGTAATCGTGACTGAACCGAAAAACTTCTTATCTAACTCTGAATTCAAATTTGAAGTATTCCACTTGAGAAAAGAATTTCACGTATAATAATTATTAACAACGCATCTTTATTCAGGGTTAGATGAGAGTTTCTCAGTTGAATTGTAATATACGTGACATCTATATTTGTAGTCGCGATTTAACTGTCAAACTCTCATCTAACTCTGAATTCAAGTCTGAGTGTCTCACTTGAGAGAAGAGTCAATAACTTATTTATGAGCCGAAGACTTTTCATTCAGAGTTAGATGCAAGTTTTTTATTTAAATTATGATACACATGATTTTTATACCTGCAACCGCGATTTAACCGAAAAATTTTCATCTAGACTTTGGACTCTGAACTCAAGTCTGAGTACCTCATCTGAGACGAGCATCAAGTAATAACCATTAGCCTTTGCTTCTCGCTTGATCAATTTCCAATGCGTTGATCGACCATTTATATATAATTTACAATAATATGCAATAATTTAATTCGATCGTGTCGCCTACGCGTTGTACACTCTTCACACGGCGTCACCGCTCGATAATCGCGTGCTTCACAACGTCCTACGTTTACTAAGAGACGTTTCTCATTGGCGCGAAGTACACTTCTTAAATCGACAGATACCGTTTCGTGGAACGTTCGTATCTGTCATAAATAATCGAATTAAATCGCTACGGTGACGAAATAATTTAACATGGGGCTTGCTCGGCCTATATAAACGCGGTGATTTCTCTCTCTCTCTCTCTCTCTCTCTCTCGGGTCGAAATATTCGCGATCAAAGAGACGTCGCAAGTACGCATTTCCTTGACCAAGGAAGTACATTAAGAGATTTACGAGACCGTTCCCGGCTCTCTCCATCGTTGTTGGCTTCCTCCGAGTTATATTCAGTCGGATATCCTGCCAGGATATCCGCAAGGAGCGAGTGTCTCCTCTCGCAGTGGCCGGCCGATGCTCTCGCCGTTCAGTCGGAGGCTCCTCTCTTCCGTTTCCTCCGTAAGCACGATCTTATTGATCCTCGTGCGCGAAGTGCGCCGCTCTTCCTCTCGCGCAACGGCGCTTACGCGAAGCTTACTTAAAAATCTAACTTTGGCAATACGCGACGTGGTGTGATCTATGTGTGTGTGTATGTATGTGTATGCGCGCGTGTGTTTGTATTCGCGGAGTTACTTCCGGGGCGGGTCAGCGTGTGGTCGTATCGTCGCCATGGGAAAACCGACAGAGTCTCCCCCCTTTTGGAGTCCCTTTTGGCCCCCTTCGTTCTCGACTATTTGGCAAAAAGTGGCGAAGGATGTCTCGGCGGGACAGAGGTTCGTGTTATACGTTAACGAATATGTATGGTTCATTGGCGCGCGCGCGCGTCAGTACAGTACGTATGTATGTATGTGTGTATGTATGTACGTATATATGTTGGTCAACGTGCTTTCTTGTACTCGTACATGCTCTTAAAATCTAAATATAGTCTCGTCTCAAAGACTGCTTCCGAACTCGCTCGATCTTCGTCGGTCGATGTGCTTCATGTACGTCTCGGAGTATATGCTCTTAGTTCGATCGTCGTATCTGAAAGCAGAATTCAAGCAAACCGAAAGTTACTCCCTTCATAAAGTCAGCGCAAACAGATCCGTCTTTTGGGCACGTCGGCGTCCGTTTATTCTTCACGTTAAACCGAGTCAGCGAGAAAACTTTCGGCACCCCTCGCTGCCCGATCGCTCGATATGCACTTGTATGCATGGATTGTTTAAGCAGCTGGCACACATAAGCTTTCTCGTTGACGCGCGTCGATCCACGTGTGTTACGACGGTTAACACGTTCAGGGATGAATTTAGTAAAATCAACGGAGAGAATGACTTTATTTTCAAGTCTCATAAAATATGACATCTGTTAATCATATGAAACGAGATCTCTTTCCTTTTTCTCCTTTTTTGCGAAATTCTCTGGTAAACATTTGCTCGCAGTATTTTACACGTTACATTTTCTCGACAATGTTTGAATTAAGAATAAATTTAACGTGTATGTATATACAGAGTGTCCCAGACTTTTCTTTACAATTTTTGTGGAAATTTTTGTAGAATGTAAAAATTGAGGTGAACATAAAAGTCCAACATCATTTTATGATATTTGTAACGTGATTATTCGTCGATCTTCTTTAATTAATTTGACTATTATTGCGAATATCGCAAAACTACAGAACTTTTATGTTCACCTCCGTTCCCACAAAAATTGCAGAGTCTGGGAGAGTCTGGGACACCTTGTATATACATATATATATCGGTATCCCTGAAGATGTCAAGCTTATGAATTAGAAAGGTATAGATAATTGCGGAAGCTTCAATTTCAATATCCACCAGGCGCCAAAAGTGAAGGAAGTGAAGTTATTACTGTTATTTCCTTGCGATCGCGCGCAGAAAGTGTTTCGGAGAGAAGCGCGTGTCGCAGCAGCTGTCGTAACGAGCAGGACAATCGCGCATCGCAGTGTATCCTTTGATTCTCGCGTAGTTTTCAGTTCAATTGCCGTCGCGCATCGTCACGGATGCAGTTGGCGCGCGATACGCAGTACACGTAATTGAACAGAATAATGGAGTAATTGACGCGGGGGAATGAAAATGGAGATACATGACGCCATACATGGCGGGATTAAATTAGGTTTAATTTATAGGTTTAATGATCGTTTCTCGGAACATACCGCGAGCGTAACGTACGGCATGAATACGAACTCGCGGTAATCGCGCCGCGTGCACTCGCACGGCATGTAAAACGCGAGCGAGTGCACTCTCGTTGTCGACGGTGTAATAAAGTATCGCACAATAGCCGTGACAGGAGCGCGGTGTGTGGAATATGTAATAATAAACGCATCGCGTTAGATCGCGCCAACGGAGCGAGTGCTCTCGCGTTTCCAGACATTCGTGTATGTATGTGTGTGGCATTTCGCGTGACTTATGCGGCGCGAATTAAGCACGTTCGGATTAAGAAAATCAAGTTTGATTACGGTCTCAAGGTTCACGCGCGTTCTCTATCGATGCTTTCTCCGAGCGCGTTCGTTTCGCTCATTCTTGGTTTCTCGGATGAAGATTTTCATTCACGAGATACTTTTAGGCCTGCATTAATAGTCGTTATTTGAAGTTGTTTGTCTCACGTGAGATGCTCGGATTTTTATTCAGGGCTAGATCCAAGTTAGTTTTCCAGTTGAATTATATGATACGTAAGACATTGCGTCTGAAAATCTGTAATCGCGAACGGAAAAGCTCTCATCTTGCTCTGAACTCAAATCTGAGTATATCATTTGAAAGAAGTTTTAAGTCGAACGACTATTGACATGTGCCTCAGTCATTTAATAAACGTTTGATATCGTTTCTTGCAAGATTAAATAGGTTCGAATGTTAGGATACCTTCCGATGCGACGATTCGAAAGTAAGCAGAAACGCAAGTCGCAATTAGGATGTTGTTACACTCAATTGAAGCTTCATGCGTGTGGATTAGCTAGAACTGCAGCCCGCTCGAGAATTAGGCACGCGCGTCTTTAATTAGCGCAATTTCAGGAGAGGATGCAATATATATCGCAGAAAGGAGCTTTGCGTTTCGCACAACTGAAAATTCAGGAGAACGAGTCGCTCTTGATGTATTGGCCTCGCGAATTCCACTCAAAAATCACGATTGAAATAAAGTATGCGCATGGGAAAAATACTGTAATAAAATTTACGTTACAATTATATATTATCGTACCTCTTTTACAATGTTTCCTGTAAAGCTGGACTCTATTGAAATTGCGGTATAAATAGATTAATAGAATAGAAGTTATTATAGATTATATGAAAAACCTTCGAGTAATTGCGATTATTAAAAAATCAAACGTGCATAACATTTTTAAGCAAATTCATAGTAATTTCGCGATCGTAATTCTGCACGGTCCAAAGAAAATTTTATTGTAATTTTTGTTGCAGTACATTTTCTCTCAGTACACGATATTTCTTATGCAAGAAAGGAAATGCGGAGCATCTGTTTATGCGACAGACACGATCTGTCAGCGCCGCAGCGTCGTTCGTTGTGAAAAAGAGAAACTTCAGATTCGATCGTTCTCGAACCCGAATCGACTGTCGGATTGAATATTCCGATCCGAGCGAGTGTCCGTTCCGGAAGCGCTCCAACACCCGTGATTCGTATATCCGCAAATCCGCGTGGCGGTGAAAGACAGCACGCTATCGATAACAGCGCGGCTGATCGATCGAATTCCCGATAACATCAGCAGCGACCTCGTCTTATCGCGGGGACGGGTGGCAAAAGAGAAAGGGCTGCAGAGACGCGACGGGCGAATAGAGGGAGAGTAGAGGTTTCAGAGGAAAGAAAGCGATAGAATGAAGTGCATACCTCGATGTGTCAGACCAGATCGTACCTGAGGGATGGCCGACGGAAGTCCAGCGCCTCGAGGTCGGACGGCTCCCGTCTGCAGAGCGAGCAGAAGGCGCACTGCAGGGTATTTTTGAACGCTTCCCGAAAGTCGCGATTAAAGTACGCGTATATCAGTGGGTTCAACGCTGAATTCGTGTATCCGATCCAGAAGAGGATCGCGATCACGATGTCGGGGCACGGACAGGTCTCGCCGCACAGCGCCGTAATGACGTACCTGACAATAGCACGAGATTGACGTTTATTCGTTTATGCAGATGTCGGAGAGGCGCCGGAAGAACGAGAAAGTGATCGATCGCGACCTCGAATCTCCAGAACCATCAGAAATATGCCGGCTGATTTATACACGAACCTCGACATTCGCACTGAATCTTTCTCTGTCTCTCTCTCTCTTTCTCTTTCGCTTTTCCATAAAAATATTACATAACTCAAATAGGTACTTTCGTGAAATTTCAAATTTCACATGGAAATGGCTCATTAACGCGTGCTAGAAAACTCATTAATGCAAACGATCGCGCGTTGAGTAACACGGAGCCGATGCGAACGTAACCGCGCTTGCCGGGGAGTGAACCTCCCGTCAGGAGCGGAGTATCGAAATTAATCAATCCTTATCGCCGTTATAATGGAGGGCTAACGGATGTTTGGACGTTGATTAATTTTCAAACTCGAATTTCGAAGGTGACGCGAAACATGAGAACTAATTTGCGCTCAGATATACGCGGCCGAAGGATATGAGATTTCGACGCTTCTCGGATGAATTTTAATCCGCGGAAGAGACGCGCGCGCCTCGTTTAAACGAACTTTCCACGAGACGTCTCGGCGAAAATGCTTCATTAACGCGAGCTAAGAGTCTCTTACTGAGGCAAACTAGCGATCGCGGTTAGATCGCGGCGTTACTCGACGTGACGCGCACTACCGGGTGCAAAGGGTGAATCTGTCGCGAGAGTGCGAGAGTATGAAACTTAATCAGTCTTTATTATGCTGTAACGGATGAGCGGGTAACGCGACACTCAGACGGGACGCGCGCGAACGTACCAGAGAAAAAATGGCAGCCAGCAGAGGATGAAGGTACCCATGATGATACTCAACGTCCTCGCCGCCTTGTGCTCCCTCTTCATCTTCATCATGTTCTTGTCCTTCGTGGGAGTGTGCAGGTGATCGGTGTTGATCTCGTTGAGAGTGAGCGTCTTGGAGGAGCCGCCGCTGTTGAGCTCTCCGTTGAGATTATTGAGATCCTTGCTCGGCCGGTGGCTGAGCAGCATGGCGTTGCCCATTCTACTGTGCATTTGCTTCTCTTGCCGGTTCGCCTCGCGGAATATCGCGAAGTACGTGACCGTCATGATGGTGCACGGTATCCAGAAGGATATGCTCGACGACAATATGGCGTAGATCTTGTTGACCTTGAACTCGCACAGCTCCGGGTGCTTGTGACGGTGCACGCTGTTCTCTTCGGTGGTGTACCAGCCGTAGAAGATCGGCACGAAGGAGATGATTGCTGGCGAGATCCAGCAGGCGAGCAGCATGAACGCCACCACTCGTTTCGTCATGTTGATGGGATACTTGAGCGGCTTGACGATCGCGTAGTAACGATCCACCGAAATGCACATCAGATGGAGTATCGAGCTGGTGCTGAAGTAGACGTCCAAGGAGTTCCACACGTCGCACATGAAATAGCCAAACAGCCATCTGCCGGTCACCTGCACGCTTGCGTTGAACGTCATCGCGAACATCGCCACCAGCATGTCCGCGAGCGCCAACGAGACCACGAAGTAGTTGGTGATGATGCGCAGCTTCCTGTGCCGCATCACTGACACCATCACCAGGAGATTGCCGAAGAGGGCCGTGGCGATGATCGAGCCGAGGACGCAGCCCTTCAAGATCGCCAACGGCATGTCCGGCCAGCTGACCTCCACGGCGTTGGCGGCGGTGCCGTTGGCGCAGGGGTCCTCCTCGGTCGAGGTGACGTCCAGCAGCGACGGCACGTCAAGCGAGGGAACCTCCGCCGGCTCGAACGTCGTTTTCGCGGTCATCCTTGCTCAACGCTGCACCGCGCCACGACCACCGAGCCGGCCGCGCACCGACTCGCCCTCCCCCCCCCCCCCCCCCC